AGTATATTTTAAGGCCTTCCTGTCTGTAGTATATTATTATTATTATTACAGTCATCATCATCATCATCATCCTCCTATTCTTGTTATGGTAATCTTAATTATTATTATCATCATCATCATAATCCAGTGGTTGAGTCACATTCCAGCTTTATTTATATTATATTTGTGACAAATTTGTAATAAATAAATTAATTAATCATCATCATCATCCTTTTTATAATTACTCTTATTATTATCACTATTATTATTATTATTATTATTATTATTATTATTATTATTATTATTACTACTTATAATAATAAATGTTCAGAGACTGACCCTGCATATCCAGCTACTCTATGAAACGGTTTATGAAAGGCAATTTAAGAAAAACCATGACAGTATATTGTTGCTTATTGTATTTATTGATCAACTTTGTATAGGAACTCACAACTTACAATATGAATTAAATAGATGCAGCAAAATTCTTAAATGATCATAATTATATTTTGGTCATTTAAAACAACTGTGCGTAGTACAAATATAGTCTACTATAAATTCTACTAATGTTAATGTAAACCTATATTATATTTTTTGTAACACTTTATATATATCTTTAATATGAACCTAAACCTATTTTACTGTACTTTTACTACTGTAATTTTACTGGTATTGTCATTTCATGTGAGTATAATTTTATTATACTATTCAAATTCTATTAGCATCTGTATTTTAAGTACTGCAATTTTATAAAGTTAAGTATTAGGTATGAGCTGAATAGCTTGATAGTTAAGAGGCTTGCCTTCCAATCCTAGGATACTACAATTGTAGGTTTAAACCCTGGGATTGCAGAGTGTTCCTAATGACCAAAAACAGCCCCACTCAATAAACCGCATAGACATACCATATACAAAGCATCATTCCATCCTATACTAGGCAAGTTGCTTCTGTCTAACGTGAAAGAAATATTTAAAATTAAATTGTGAAAATTTAATTTCTTTTTTGACTTTTCGAAAAAAATTATTTCTTTTTTCCATTATTGTGTTTTAATGCGACATGCAAATAATGTTGTACTAGGCCTATGTTATTCAGTAACTGTGTTTAAAATTAAACTTTTATTTCTGAACGATGTCCATGTGGCATTATAGAAAAGAAAATATAAAATCTCAAGCCCATGATATAGGCATACTGTACATAGTTAATGAATAACATAGACCTACAGTAGTACAACATTATTTGCATTAAATATAATCATGGAGAAAAGAAAATTTTTTTTTCGAAAAGTAAAAAAAGAAAATTATTCCAGCCATCTAGAGGTGCCAAAATCAACAAATTTCTTTCCTCAGCCCCAACCATGATGGGGCTGAGGTATACACCCACGCGCCATCATTTTTTTCAAATTTTGTATCATTGCCAATAAGTTCAAGTTCTGGCCATCCAACGTCACCATACAGTGTGGCATAAGCACTGCTTCATGGTGCCTTTAGAATGAATCTGGCCATAGTTTGAAAGCTTAATAAAAGTTATTTCTAAACCATGTCCATATGGCATTACAAAATAGAAATGAATACCTTATGAAAAAAAATATATAATGTCCTGAACCCAAAATATAGGCTTACTGGACATTGTTACTGAATAACACCCCTCCATAACACAAACCTCGTTGCATTACAATACAATGTGTTACCATAGAGAAAAGAAATCATCCCTATCAGTGGTATAGGAAGCCCCCCTCCCCTTTGAAATGTGTGGTCCCATCTGGTATCTTCCTTTTATAGGTACCTTCTCGATACTAAAAAATGTGTCATGCCAATAGTGATGCTTCAGTAGTTTAAAACTTTTACTCACATCAAGTCTACAAACACCTGGACTGTTACATTTTCCTGTCACAACATAATCTCCATTGTCATAATCATATTGTCATTTATTTCATAATCATATTTTTGTATACCTCCCCTCTCAACCATGGTGGGACTAAGGTTGTATATACCCTCCATCCAAAGTCCCTCCCTGGGCCCCATATTTAAAATTCCTGGACCCAATACTGAATACACCTCAGTAATTATATAAATTTATAGTGTCATTATTTATCACCGCAATTCTCCGTGGATGTTGCGAAATTAAGCATAATCCATTTGGATATTTGATTCTGTCTGCTGGTTTATCAATTCTTTTGATAAAATTTCCATCACTACTGAAAAGCTGTATTTTTCCATAACTTGCTAAAATGATGTTGTCATCCTCATCAACTACTACTCCTTGAAAAGCCCATGCCTTATGTTCATCACCTTTGACAAGCACTTTCATCAACCTTCCTTTATTATCAAATTGTAGTAATCCATTGTCACAAGACTTAGTATTACTACTTTCTAATGCAAGAATATTTCCTTGATTTGTAAGGGTAACATCAATGACTCCTATTTTTTTGTTTGGTGACTCTAACTTTTTGATCATCTGGCCACTATCAATACCAAATATATACACACATTCATTTCCCCAATCAGCTACATACACAGCATTTGAGGCCTCATCCACATGGATCCCAGCTGGATCCTCCAATACTTTTTGACCAATCGATTTGATCACCTCACCATTTATCTTAACTATTGTGATGCATCGGTTGCCTTCGTCACTGACTGCTATGTTACCATTCTTCATTTTGCACATTTCAAATATTTTCACATCTTGTGGTAGTGTAACCTTACCAATATATTCTCCTGATTGCATATACTTGAGCATTTCATTAGTCCGACATGAAACCAACAAGCACTCTTCAAATTTTACTAGGCTTCCGTATTCATTATTCTTGTCTTTGAATAATTTAATGGTATTAAATAATCCTTCTGGTTCTACTTTGATTATCATTGGTGACTGCTTGATCGGTTTGCCATCAACACTCACATCAAGTCTACAAACACCTGGACTGTTACATTTTCCTGTCACAACATAATCTACATAGTCATCTTCGTCAACTTGAGAGATGTTTGTTTCTACTATAGGATATGTCCATGTTGCCTTCAATTGATTTGCTAATACATTACATCCATCTTCTTTAATTATTTTGGCAAGAATTTCTTGGCCTTGTGTCACAGATTCCACTCCCTTTAATGAAAGACCATCTATTGTTGATTGTGTTACATTTCCTATCTCACATTGCTGCAAAGAATCAATGTGGTGTTTGTTTGCAAAAAATAAAATTTGCCCATTATCATTTGGCTCGGTTTTGGGCATTTCATTGACTCTGTCCTCCAGTGCTTTAATTACTGTTTCACTTGATTGCATCGCTGTTGCTTCATCACTCTTTAACAACTGTTGAAGAAAACTTAATTTTGTATTTACTTCAGATATTATTGTTTTCAATTCATCCATTTGTACATCATTTACTTGCTTTTTCAGTTTGTAGATTATCTCTACATTTTTTTTCATTTCATCTGCTTTATTCATGATTGTTTTAATCATTTCCTGCACAAGTCTGTCAATATCTTGCAAACTTGTCTTTCTACTTTCTTCTAATTTTGTAGATGTTTGAATAACTGCTTCAAGGCCTTCTTCTAACATTTTTTTGCAGCATTGGGCAGCTTCCTCCAATGTTGATGAATTTTCTTTAAATGTTTGGAAAGCATCTGATATGCTGATTGTTTTGTGCTTCCCTTCCCACACTTTGTGGTTTATGAATGTGCAATGAATGCAAATTGGAGTTTTACAATCTTGACAGTACAACTCGAAAGGTTTAGAGTGAAGTGAACACAGTGGAGGATTTAACAAAGCAAAGTCTTGTGGTGTCATTGAGCGCACATCCTCCACTGCATGTAGCTTGTGATTTGCCGAAATTGGCATCATTTTATGATAATCTCTACAAGAAGAGCACAAGTAATGTCTGCAATCCTGGCAGTAGTATTCTTCTGCTTTTCCACAAACACATTTTGTGATGTGATCACCAGCAGGTTTATCATATCGTTGAAGGGTTTCTAACAAGTTATTCAGAAATGTGTTTGGTGGAAGTTTCTGAAGCCCGCCTTCTGGAATGGGAAATGATTTTGTGCAAGTTGGGCAAGTCAGCTTACCCTTCTTCTTAACCCAGTCTTCCAGACAGGCCAAACAATAACTATGCTGGCAGTTGAGAGATTTTGGATTCTGGAGTCTCTTAAAGCATATGGCACACTCTAAGACTTTCTCATCAATATCTTCCAGAAACTGATTAAATTCACTTGTAGCCATCTTGATATAATTCTGTAAATTAGTAATAATTTAAAGGGTTAATATAATATTACTGGGGCTTTTGTTGATATACCATAGAGCTCCTAGTGGTACTCAGCATTTTGGCCCTGTAGAAGTATGCCATCATAATGTTTGGATAACTGTGGGAGTAGAATTAATAAAGTTAGGACTTTCTCATCAATGTCTTCCAAAAACTGATTAACTTGTCGCCATTTTGGTAACCCTGTAAATGATTAATAATTTTAATTAATATAATTTCACTGGGCTCTGTGTGGTCCCTCAGTAGCAGTCCATGCTGCAAGTCCTATTTACACAGAGAGACTGTGGCAAAAAAGATATTGAATAATAATTGTGATGGTGGTGACATTGGTGGTGATGATAATGGTGGTTAGTGATAATGATGATAATGTCGATGGTGATGATGGTGAAGATGGTGATAGTGATGGTGGCTGCAGCGATAGTGGTTATGGTGATAGTGATAATTGTGGTGGTGATGATGATGGTGATAATGGTGATGATGTTGGTGATGATATTGATGGTGATGATAATAACGATGCGGTGATGACCTGCCAATTTTTTGTTAATATAATACACAGGAGCAACACAAAATAGAGGGCCACAGAATGGAGGGTAACATCACAGACCCACAATTATGGTTGATGCTAAGGTTTTATTTGGTAGAAGCGGTTGGCGCATCGGTTGTGGCTTGGATTCCCATCCTCAAGGTCGGGGGATTCGAAACTCTCGCAGTGCTAACCACATGTGTCCTTGGGCAAGGCACTTTATCTACAGTTGCCTCTCTCCACCCAGGAGTACATGTGGGTACCTGGTAGGTTCAAACACGAATGCGCTGATTTAAGGAGGCTATGCCGTACTGGGCCAGGAAAACAGGGCATTTTGGGGTTATTTTAGCTATTCTGAGACGTTTTAACTCTTAAATACCCAATATTGTTTTTTTATTTTCTACCAAAATCAGTTGAACTACTATTACAGCCATGTAACCTAACAAATTAAACTATACATTCTGAAACTCTTCTAGAATGTAGGCCATTTTACCAGGACTACGGCGGTATGTGGTGGGGACTTAGCCGGGGATATACATTAAAACCCTGCATTGCTGGGAGGTGTGGCCTGGACTTTCACATACATGTAACCGTTTTGGAAATTACATCCCCGGGTACGTCCCCACTAGGTCCGGGGGAGTGGGGACTACAATTGACAAGTGCATTACCAGTAGGCCTACTCTGTTTCCTTGTCTGTTTATTTTTAGATTTTTGGATTTTAATACCAGTCAGTAGGTGTGTATGTGCAGAACTCTGATAGAATGAACATTTTTTTTGATTAATTGTTTTTTGAAATTTTGACTATAATTATTTACTTTATCATTATCTATAATAGTCCTCTTGATATTATAGATACAAATTATATAATAACACTAATTATTGAATTCTTATTACCTTTCAATTCCTTGTTTATTGCTGGCAAAGTGCCGTAGCAGTGTTTCTATAATATCTCTCCCAACAATGTTGGGTTTTTCCAGTTACTATTCTATATGACACAATAGGTGGCAGTATTTTTGTGCAGTTGACCATGGTATTGATTTCGGTATTGTTTATTCATGTATGTGTACAGTTAAAATCCTATTACAATCAGTGGCGGACCGTCGGGTAAATCGCATGGTATGCTAGGTATTTGGCATATCTTTTCATTTCATTCGGCATTACAATAAAATATACAGAAGTACAAAAATATATCAAAATACAAGAATGCAATAGCGAAAAATGTCATTAAAAAAATAATGAAAACCACAAATTTAGAAAACAAACAAGAAGACCCACCAACAGCGTTTACCCAAGCTACAGCATATACAAGTTATAGACTATGTGCAATATTAGAGAATTTTTTATCAAGGTGATGCTTTAATTTTATTTTAAATACATTGAGTGATGTTGATTGTTTTATGTATGATGATAGTGAGTTCCATTGTTTGATTGCTGTATAATAAATTGTTGTATTGTTGGAATGTTTAACATGTGGGATGCTAATGTTTAATGAGCTACCTCTAGTAAAATGAT